GCGAGGCGCGCGTCAGCGCGCCGAGCGCCCCCCCGAGCGCCCCCGAGCGCGGTCTGGCGTGGTGGCACGTGACCCTGTGGGGATGAGCGGCTAAAGTTCGGAAAACCGATATAAGGGGATGGGATGACATAAGGGGGGATGACATAAGGGGATGACATACGGGATGACATACGGGATGACATAAGCATGAGCTTCGCTAAAAGTCGGGCTCTTGTGGTCCCCACAGGGGGGGCCCTCGGTTTATTATTAAGTCCAAAGGTCTACTTCGCTCTAAAAAGCCGTCTAATTTCTTACATCACGATACGAAGTCCTTCAAAACGGGAATCTCCTGACGCCGTACCCCACTCATAGGGTGACCAACTGCCGAGTTTAGTAGCCTGTGGATCAGGCTATCCCCCCTGAAGTGCAAAACACTACTGTACGTTCTTCCTTCGATTTTAGCAAGTCGGGATTCAACGAAGGCTTGGTACATTGCTGGTTAAGGAATGATGTACATACGGACTTTATCCAATTGGACTCCAAAAGTCTGTACTATGGTTTTCTTGCGCCTCGGAAGTTGGCACCTATATATTCCCCGCTTCCTTCGTCGACTACTTGACTACCACTTACTTTATCTACATTGATATACGAGACGTTGACTAGTCTCGACAACATAAATATAAATACCTTACAATATCCTCATAAACACCCAGTCACAGTATCAGAGAAACATCGTACAAGTTTCCTCGACACTTCTTAGTTAAAAATTGGCTTAGACCAAACCTACACTTACACAAACTACAATGAGCGACAACTCAACACAACCCCGACCGCTAAGTGTCATCGTGACCGGCGGCTCGAGCGGGCTCGGAGCCACGATGACGAAGTACTTTGCTTCTCTGGGTTATGCCGTCAGTATTCTTGACGTCAACACCGCCTTGGGCCACAAGGTGGTGACCGACATAGGATCAGAGTATCCGCAATCAACTATCAGCTTCAAGCGTGTAGACGTCACATCATGGTCAGACCTAGACACAGCATTTAGGGAGGTCTACCAGCAGCGCGGCGCCGTCGACATAGTCATGGCCAACGCTGGTATCTCGGAACAAGGTGCTAGCAGTCTAACGCTCGTCGACGAGGAGGAGCCGTCGCAGCCAAGACTCAGGACGCTAGACGTTAATCTAACGGGTGTGATATACAGTGAGTTTCATCGATGCTCGTGCGAAAAGCTACACTTTTACTAACTAGTACGGCAGCTGTTAAACTTGCAGCACACTACATTAGGAAGAACAAGCCAGATCCCACAACAGGATCACGGGGTACCATCATCTGCACTTCTTCAAATGCGGGTCTATACCCATTCCCCGTAGCTCCCATATATGCTGCCTCAAAAGCCGGCGTGATCGGGCTCGTTCGATCTCTGGCAAGGGTTCTCGAACGCGTCAACATTCGCATCAACGCATTAGCACCCGCAGTCCTCGGTAAGAGCATCCCTCCTATATAATATATTCCCCCATCCTAGCCCCTTTTGGCTTCTCCATAGTTACACGTATCATCAAAATCTCGTTGACTAGACTAACAAAAGAATATAGAAAGCGGTATCGCTCCATCTAAAGCCTTATTCGAGGAAATGATCGTCACGCCACAGGAGACACTCATCAAGGGCATCGCGCAGCTCACCGGGGACCCCAAGATCAACGGTTCCGTAGCTGAGATCCACGGCAACAGCGTGACGCTGCGCCCGCCACACGAGTACGTGGACGAGGCTACGCACTCTAACCTTGAGACTTTCTGGAAACTCGGCGTTGCTTGAGGCGGTGATTTTATTCCTTTGCTAGAGTCTCTTAGAGAATAGAAGCGGGGACGGTTGGTAATTTTCGGCTACTATGGAACCGCTATGTGTTAGGCATTTTCGGGAGTAGAGAAAAGGTACTAGGCTTGGATTCGTGGGTGATGCATAATGTAAGGCTATTGAGGCCTGTTTATGAGGCCTGTTTAATGACTACTACCAGAAGCATTTTCAAAGCAAGCTGTACTGTCAATGTGTGCTCCTTCTATCTGGCTATACAGCAGTTTCTTATGTCTACCTCATAATCTCGAATGGCTATCCCCCCCTTAATTAAGCGCCTATGCGCCCCTTTCCCAAGCGTAGCATACCGAAGACGACTCACAGCACCAGTTAGTCTACTCCACACTTGGGTACTACCAAATAGATGGCTATGGAATATATAACAGTCACGAATTCCTCAAAAAGGCATCAAAACAACTTTGCCTCAAATGAATCTAAGTCGCAAAAGTCCCAGGACAGAAGCAAGAGGATTCCTTTTCACAGTAGATGAAGCGAGTCCATTCGATATTGGTCACGGCCTAGTAATTACCTTATACAAAGGAGCCAGGTTTTAGCAATGAGTGGTATTAAATAAATGCTTATTCTTCTTTGTAAAAGGAAGCCTGAGTTGCCTTACACGCACAGGGGCTATAAACCCAGGGGCAGCCTGAAAGGCATTGTCGTAGCAGTTGATTCCTAAGGAATCACAAACCGTCTGTTGCTAGGCATTGTCACAACAGTGACTATATCTTAGTATATGATTTTCGAATTGTACTGTTCACCACACGCAATAAATATATGATTAAGTATAGGTAGTGACCAACGCAACGTAACTCTTAGTCCAGCTCGGGACGACACTTCTTTTCCCTCTCCAGACTAGATTGCATAGCCATCCTTCTGAATACTCCTTTATAACCTTTACCAAGGTAACACTTACCTGACTCTATACCTCTGAAGTCGCATAAAGTAAGATAACTAACCTACCCAGGTGCGTATTTCACGACCTGACTTACCTCCACGTCACGTCGCCCTCGGTTTCTTCCTTTCTCTTAAATAATTTACAAATCCCTACTTTGCTTTGACTACTCCGAGTTAGCACTTCCCCGTAAGGTGTACAATAATCCTATCCGTGAGCTTAGAGCAACCCTTAACACAAGTATCCAAGGTAAACAAAGCAGATTTCGCAGGAAAGAAGGACAGGTACCAGATCCATCGCCCTGACGCCAGTGTCAAAGTCGCGATATAAGATACCATTGTAGGTCCAACTTACCATGTCAAGGATTATTTATTATGATATTGACTGGTTCGAGGACGGCTTGCATCCCGTGTGGAGCGACAGCGACCAAGAGGGTGACCCTCGGGACGTCGACGTCGATAACATGGACGAAGAGATTTCGAGTCAGCTTGCTCGAGATCGCAATGAGGAATCCGACCAAGGATACCAGCAATCCCCCTCGCAACAGCGCGACAACATCACTATACCTATCCAAGCCACTCTAGACGACTGGGACGTTCTTTCCAGTTATATGAGTTACGACTCATATGAACTACGTGCTTACTACGACGAGGACGACGAGGGCTGCTCGGAAATATGGCTTGAAAGGAGCGAATTGGTCACAGCGGACACGTACTCTTGGTGGTGGTTCCCGATCGTGGTTGAAAGGGTGAACAACGAACTGTACAACTGGGACCCCTGGTACCACGACGAGGGGTACGATTCCTACGATGAGCGGTACGGTTGGCTAAGCAACCGGGATTGGGAAGGTGAACGCGAGTTCGGTGGTGATGGGTTTTTGGGATGGGGTACAGCTGTCCCAGACGAAATCGACGAGAATCTCCCGAACCTGGCCAACTTCCCTCCTGACCGTGATTACTTTATTCACCCTCGTCACCCCACCGATCAGTGGTGGCCACTCTCGTAGTAATACTCGTTAGGTAAGTCGGTCCTAGATTAGACGGAGAGGGAGGTTTCTTGTAGTCGAAAAGCGTACTTGAACTGACGATGTATATTAAGGGGGGTTTAGGACCGCGTCATCGACCATATCGCTCGAGGTTAAAGATGCGCTGGCATAGAATAATTCGCAGCATATGGACCATATTGATTGAGATTTGGGTCTGCAAAATGGTTGGGAGGATGGATAAATAGCTAGTCATCGTGAGCCCTATTTCAGAGGTTTTTTCCCGCATACCCCCTAATCTAACAAGACGACATTTATTTCGATATCCAACTTGGTTGGTTCCTATTTGAACGTGACTTGAATGTGACAACCTGCTTAGATTTGGCGAATAACGATCTAGTAAGTCTTTGACCTCGAAGAGCTGCGTTCGATATTGGACATTATGATACGGTCGACAACATTGCTACTAGGATTGACTTCGTATATCGTGGAAGCGCGAGGTTACGAAACGGATGCAATTAAACGCAAACAAGCACGGTCCTCAGAACCCTTCAGAGCAACAATGTGGACGATTATGGTTGCACCGCCTGCTTATGCCTAGCTATTAATGTACGCACGTAACGAGCTGACGAGTTCGTACCATGGACTCTTACCTCGATCGTCGGACGATGGATAAATAAGGCATAGCGGTGTAAGACATGAACGAATAACAAAGGCGGGGAAGTAATGAAGTCCGGGGTTTAGTCTGGGGGAAAAGTCTGGGGTAGTATTGGTCTGTATTGAAGAGGAAGGTTGTCATGTGATTCGTGAGGGGAAAAGGAGTAGAGAAACATGCCACTCGAAGTCTGAGGTGCGTCGACCACAACCAAACTCCCATTGTAATTCTTATTTTGACTTCACCTGAGAAGTCAACTTCATCTTGTGCTCCCTGCTGTCCTTCATTTTTGTATCCAAAACACTAAATTGTTAAAAGACGCCGTCAGGGGTGAATCCTTAGCACTTAGAGCCGACCGCTCATTCGTACTCGTGATTTATAAGCCCAGAATCTCTTCTCTAGGAACTACTCCCGTGCGTGATAGTTTGTTAGAACGCGGTATTTTCTTCCAGGCTTGTTGCTTGTCTCTCACACCCGAAAATGTATCCTCAATCCGTATAAAGCGAACAATCGACTCTAGACGACACGCAACTCGAACCCGTCTTGGCTCTTCCAAATAATAGCGTCCTAGGCGAAAATATGTCATTGGCATCTTTCAGCGCCGTTGAGAATCGAGTGGTACTCTCGGTGCTTTTCGTTCGTATTTTTCAAGAGTAGGATAATGCCCCGGGTAGAACCGAAATACCCAAGCTGAGGCGTTGGCACGGACCGATGCGTTGTGGAGACGCTGCTCAACACGAGGCAGAATGCTTTGATGCCGATGCCATTCGGGCCTTCCGACAATTCACGGTTGCAACATGGCACCAAATCCACCAGCCATATATCATAAATAGGTCTGGAACGGCGATACTATGGCCTCTTATTCTTGATCTTCAAGCCTAAGAAGGAGCGATATCAACCGGAGCAGAGCCCATAATTTAATAAGCATGCCACCCAAGATAGGCCATGTGGGAGTCCAATATTCATATTCGATGCTTGAAGAAATATCAAGGGGTGATGACCAGGACAAGATCAACTTGCATCACGTAACAAGTCCACTCCAAGAGCATCGGTAGCTAATTCGACCACACAGCATCAACGCCTCGCTAGTCGCTGTCGCTTCTAATTGAACCCCTATAGGCCAATCCCTGATGCAGTTAGGCAATTCGGATACTCAGCCCTAAGTTTCAGCAATCTTTATAGATTACGCCTGGATTATCTCCGTAGGGAGAATAAGCCGGAACCCTCGAGGGCAACTCCTTCGGTTCACCTGTGACGGGGTATAGGCCCAGTGTGTCCGACCAATGATCCAGCATTGTTGCCTACTTCCTCGAAGTTGTTATCGAGAAGTCATAATGTGGTCCTCGTCGTTGAAGTTTTCTTTTAATGGTACCTGGCCGAGTCCATCAACTACGCATTTTCGTTATGCCATGGGTGCGCGATATCACGCTGTTGTCCCTCTTGTTGTCAACCCATTAGAGCCATGAGCCGTATTAACCTATTCGTGGTATCTGTTGCGGTAAGGAGGATAGCGAGGATACCAGAACGGCTATCGCTTCCTGTCTTGAAAAGACATTTGGACATTCGTCATAGTCGGGGAATATATCTTCGAATACGTCTAATAGTAAACAGCGGTTATTAGTTCAAAAAAATATTTTGTAAAAGGAAAACGATACCAGGAGTCTTCTGTCAGCATCAACATTGGGGATCAACTAATACATATACACAGTACCTCCAGCTATTATCAGGACATCCCTCCCTGTTAGGCTTTAGCACATCGGATCGGTCCACAATTAAGACAACGAAACTTCAAGTCGAACTCTAACCTTAACCCTAACGCACCTAGCCGCCCACCAAGCTCTTATCAATCCATCAACCTGACCTCATTACTTTGGTACCTGCCCGAAGCAGCTAGTCCAAACAGCTAAATTATCTCTTCTTCTACTCCGCAACGTACAGTACTCTCTCGTCATCCCCCCAGACCAGACAAGGAAAGGCTAGTCGTCTCCGCTCCCTTTTTATTCCCCAGCCAGAGAGTCCACATAGCGCCCAATTGCCCTTCCTGATTGGCTGCTTCGGGAGAGGCAGGGAGACGTGGTGGGGGTTTTATCGATGCGAGGACAGCTAGAAGATGGCAGACCAAACCGTCTAAGTGGGCCATTGTACGGCTCAACGGGATGTGTTGCACAATCTGTACAAAGTTGTGCAGGAGCTAGTCGAGATACAGATACAATCGTGTCTTGACCCTGGCCAGGGAATCAAGCGAATTCGGTGGATCAGATCTTAAGCGGGAAAACCGCGCAAATCGCAAATCGTGGGGATGGTCAAGTGACCAGGAGCTCTGCTACGAGTATTTTCTTATAGGCGTATCACGATATAGGCAATATATCATGATAATTGGTGAGTGGAATTTCTTTTGATTAGCCCATCTGGGACAGTTCACGAATTCGTTTCTCGTCATCGGGCATAAAAACAAAAAAAAAAAAAGGAAGCCTCAGTGATGTTGGTGAAGATGGTGGTTGTATTTTACAGACGCCAACCAGAGGTGGCCTTAGTTTTCTCCCATCTTTACATGCCTGAATGCAATGCAAACCCTCCCCTAGGTTTTTTCCCCTATCCACGGGAGTCTATGGACCTCTAATTACTCTAATGCTGGTTCTCCTATTGAACACGGTGAAGGCACGAAACCATCGCGGTGTACCCCTCACTCCGAATTTGCTCATTCACACGTTCCAGACCGTAGTGTGAACCCCAGCCTCCGCAAGTATGGAGGTTAAGTTGCTTAAGTCTGTTTCCCTTATGTTAGTATTGTTTTGAAGACAAGAAAAAAAATTTGGTTGCGGGATTTTCGGATATTACGTACGAACTTGGCCATGAGGGCAACCATGAGGTCGAAAAGACCGATGGCTTCGACGAAAGCGAAACCCAGAATGGCGTAAGAGAAGAGCTGGCCACGGAGAGCGGGGTTGCGGGCAACACCGTTAAGGAGAGCAGCGAAGACGAGACCGATACCGATACCAGCACCAGTCAGACCGATGGCGGCGGAACCCATACCCAAGTTCTTGGAGACCTCGACCATGGCCTGGGCGATCTCAGAGGAGTAAGCTCGGCGGGGAGTCTGCTGGAAAACCTGGCGGGTAGTGGCGCTCAGGATCTTGGAGGCTTGCTGTCGCTTGACGGCCTGGAAGGGAGTAGCATTGCCTGAGGTTGGCACATGTTAGCAAGCGCACAAACAACAAACGAAAATTTTTTCACGCAGCAATTGAAGCAATTGAAGTATCAATTGAAGGCATTATAATATTTTTGATACCTCGTCAGATATCAATGGGTTAAATTAAAAGCTTAAACATACTGATGGTTCGCTTAGCAGCAACGCTGGTCAATTGAGTTCGCATGGCAGGTCGAGCGACCTTGGTGCCCATGGAGGAGGCGAGCCTGGAGGCGACAACGCGAGCGGAGGCCATTGTGATAGACGTGGATGTGAGATGGAGGGGAGAGGTGTTGGTTGCTAAGACCAAAGATGACTGATAAAAGAGAAGATGGGAGGAGCTGGTCCAAATCGTCGAAGGAGAGAAAAAAAATTGAGCTTGCTGACTGGTGTGTGAGTGGGAAAGGAAGAAAAGGAAGGGAGAGCTTCGGAAGAAACGAGAGGAACAGAATCGTCCGGGTTGGCGGTTACTTGGTTACTTGGTTGCTAGTTAGCAGCTGGGTACCTTAGGGGGACACAGTGCAACAGCTGGCATGAAGGTCGATTCCATAGGAAGTTTCTTAAGAACAGAAGTACCTTCAACTGTTCAGGTAGGTATGGTACCTAACTAAGAGAAGACCTACATCTACCACGACTCGAAACCCATAGGATGAGTGGATTGAGAAGTGGGACAGCTCAACCTAAGAAACTGATCTCAACTTGTTCATAAATTTTTATACTGTGTAGTAGAGGACTACCCGATCAGGACAAGACTGGAGATAATTTTTGACGGTTGGGTTAAACAAAGCGAGACCTTTCGGGCAATACCGGGTCATCCTATACCGGCATCCCGGACATATTTTATTAAAAACGCTTGAGGCTTTTTTTCATCACCGCTTGGCGGATTCTATGATCAAAGACTTCCTTGTAAGTCTTTTTAGCATTATTCTCAATTTAAACAGGTATATTATGTATTATATATATTTATCTTTACGGAAATATAATTCCTTAACCATTTAAAATTCTTTGATGGCATTTTGTGAAACCTTCTTATACATGTCCTTAGAAAAAAAGAAAAAAGTAAGATAAAAGAAAAGAGATTTACGGTACCTAGAAGTGACCCCCACCCCTCCAAGCTCCACTGCATGTCATCAACGTCAATACCTAAGACTAGGGTTTCTAAAACACGTGTTTTATAATAAAACACTGAATAATACCGTACCCCTGTAAAACACTGTATTATTCGGTATTATACTCGGAGCCGGA